TGCAGTACTGTAACGTATAACAACATAAAACCACTACTGTACAGTACAGTACTATCAGCAAAAATAACAGTCTTGTATAAACAAGGTGTACTGTACCAAAAAAAGGCATAGGGGCTCTATAAACAAGATGTACTGAACTGTACATAAAAAAGATAAGTCCGAGCAGTGGGTTGTAAATCCAAACAGCATGCCTTGATCATAAGTCCAGTCGTTAAGCAGGTAGGTCGTTAAACAAGGATGTCTAGGGCTGGGGATTTAGCTCAGTGGTTTTGCCGCCTGCTGCGCAAGTGCAAGGACCTGAGTTTGATCCCCGGTACCAAAAAAAACCCAAACAAACCAAAAAAAACACAAACAAACAAACAAACAAACAAAATGTCTATATCCAGATTACTCCTAAACTTAACATGAAAGTTTTGATCCTTACAGGCTTAACTCGTCCATCATCATCGTTAAACCTAAACTGCTGTCTCAGGGTAGAAAAGTGTTCTTGAAGAAGTGGATGCACCATTTCCATGAAGCTGAGCGCTACCCTCTGGAAACTGGTGGCAGTGCGCATGCCGTGTATACTCACAAGATGGCCCTTTTTCAGTCAGCCAAGACTGAGGATTGCAGGTCTGGTTGCCACGAGTCCAGAGAGCCACAGTTTCATCCACCAAGCCCTTGTTACAGTTGCAGTGACATCAGGGGACTTCGGGTCCATTTCTTTCTGACAGAATTGGTTTCACAAGCCAGGCTTGCTGAGCATGCAGCCCCACCTACTCAATCTTCCGTAATTTCTCTTTAACTTTCACTGATTCTGTCTGGGAGGTGGCCTGCCATATTCTTCATGACCAATCCCTGGCCCCAATTTTTTCAAATGGACTCAACCAAACTACTACCTGTCTGAACTGTGGCTTGTTGACTTCTGCCACAGCATGAAGGTCATTCCAAGGTACCACAGTTTCCCAAAGGTGCACACTCAGCCCAGAGTTTGGAGGGGCAGGAACTTTTCCTCAGATGATCACTTGCTTTTGATCCTGATTGTCTTAGTCACCTTCATGTGGCTGGGATACAATACCAGACACCCATAACTTAAAGGAGGACAGCTTTATTTTGGCTCACAGTTTCAGAAGTTTTAGTCCGTGGTTGGCGGGTTTGAATGCAAAAGTGGTGTGGCAGAAGGGCCTACCATGGAGGAAAGCTCCTCACATCATGGTAGCCAGGAAGCAGAGGGAGATGGGAGGCCTGGGGAGAGCGCCTCTAATCAGGCCCCACTTCCTACAGCAAGTCAGCTGTAGCGTCCCCATAATCCAATCACTTTCCAGAAGCCCCTCCTCTGAGTGCATGAGGCTTTGGGAGAACATGCTAGATCTACACCGTAACACTGATATATTTTCCTCTTCCTCCTCTGGCTTTTTCCTGCTCTTATTTTCCAGAACCTTGAGCAATTTATAGTCATACCTTTGTACTCAACTGCTTTGAAACTCGTAGAATTTGGTACTTGAAACATTTTAACATGTAAATTTTGTCCTGGTTACTTGTCATTTGTTTGGTACTCAACCCACAACCTAGAATTTGTAAACACTACCCTTTCCAGCCAAAACAATTTGTTTGGTACTCATTGTTTTTGATACACATGGCACCTCCTGGAACCAATCAATGACAAGTACCAAGCAACATGGTACTAGGATCAGGCTGGTGCTGGAGAGGAGAAAAAGGCCTGAGAGAGAGGTGTTAAGAGTGTTCAGGGGCCAGGAGCAGCAGCACCTGCCAGCGAGGGCAGAAGTCAGGTGCCAGGGCCAGGCTGTGTGGGCAGGGCCTGACACACGGATGGAAACGCCTTTCCCTGACCTCACTCTGTGGCATCACACTAGGCTCCGGGGTAGTTGCACAGCCTAAGGAAGAGGGGTATCCACTCCCACTTCCCAGTACCAGACCCAAGGAACTTTTCTGCAGCCTACCAGTGGTGGAGTGAGGTGCAATTTGAAAAGAGCTATTTCTAGATCAATGTATGCTGTCATATTCTCATAAATGACTCTATGCGGCAAGGCTCTGCGGCTGAGTCGGGCTAGGCCATTGATAGCTGTGGGGCTGTGAGCCACTTTCTTCACTTCTCTGAGCCTCAGGTTTCTTGTCTGTAAAGTGGGAACTGACTTCTTGCCTACCAGGACAGGAGACTCAAGGACAGCGGCTCACCACTTTGCAACTCTGCGACTCAGCCAGGGCACCCATTTCCCCATCTGTAAAATGGGTGTGAAAATGGTAATCTACTTGGGGGATTCCTTTGAAGGGTATAGGCCTGACATAGGTAGGAAAATGGCCCCTGAGTTCGGGGGCACTGGAGGGTCACAGCTGGCTCAGTCTGTGCAAACACCACCCTCCCAGGAGAACTCCTTAGCATCACCTACTTCTGGGCACAGAGGTAGCCATGCCTGCCCAGACTGGCCAGCAGAGGGCGCTGCCACACCATGCAGACTGCTCCAAGGTGGCCAGCTGTCAAAGCCATAGAAAGCAAGGTGTGGTGTCCAGCATCTGCCTCCCTTTTCAAAGAAGCAATCCAGACTCCCAGACCCTGGGGTTCACCAACTCATGGGTACCAGTGACATGTTTCCAGATTCTCTGTCTCTCTTGGGCTCCCACTGGCAAATCCTCAGCTCCCTCACCACAATGCCCTTCTGGAAGTCCCCCCCCTCCCAGGGGGTGGGGGCAGGAGCTCAAGTGTGGCCAAAAACCAGTCTGAATCTACCTGGCATCGCTATGGCTCTGCCAGGTATCTGAGGTGTCCCTTGCAGCACCTGTGAGACTCCAAACTCCAAGCAGCCTACACCTAGACATGGAGCCCTTCCCCAGGGTCAGAGCTACAAAGTGGTGCAAGGGAGCAAAGAAAACCTCCTACTCTATGAAATCTGGGGGACTCAGTTACAAGTTCGGCAGAGACCAGATCAGGGAGCACCAGCACCCCCTCCCTTCTCACTGCCAGAGCCAGTACTCTGGGTCACCCCATCACCCTCAAGCATAGCTCCCCAGGCTACTTGGGGGGGCCAAGGTCACCCCAGCTATGACTCCCACTGAAACAAACTCTACCTCTCATGTCTCAGTCTCAAACAAATGTAGACACACTCGCTTTCATGGGGAAACAGGCTTAGAAACGGGTTAAATGATTGCCGAGACCCCGTGCACTGCAGTGCCAGGACTCACACGGAGACCTCTATCGTTTCCAAAAGCCATGTTATTTCTGCAACACTATCGAGCCTCCTGAGCGTAGGTTCTGGGATTTGGGCTGCGGGGGAAGCAGGTGATGGCTGTAGCTGTGTGGCTGAGGTCTGGGAGGTCCACTGTGTTCGCAAGCTGCTGTCGGGTCACAGGCAGGTCTGGGGCCCTTGCATCCCAGAATCAGTGCCCATTGCAGGCTGCTGGTTTGGGGAGCCCAGCTAGAGGGAACTCAGATACTGGCAGGTGTCTGCCCCTCCCTGTGACTGCACACAGGCCCCAGGGAGGCCCTGGTGACAGGACAGTTGGGGTGGGATGAACAGGGGAGCCCTGGCCATCCTCTCACAGGCTTGACTGGTTCCTGGTGGCAGCAGGTGTCAGGGACACAGGGTGATGCCACTTTCCCTCCCACCTCCTTATACAAGCTGGCTTCTTCACACAGGTCCCCAGAGAGTGCAATGTCACCGATTGCCCCAGATTTGCCACCACAGACTCTTCACTGCCTCAGTGGGAGATGGTGCTCTGCACAAGGGACTGGGCCAGATCCATAGGGACTCTGGTGAGAGACCAGAACCCGGAAGACAAACCCATCACAGACCAGAGTGGCCCAAGGGCAGAGGGACAGGAGACTGGAGGACAGGGTGACAGGGTCTCTGGAGGGCATCAGCAGAGGAGCTTTGGGCTAGGGGAGGGGCAGAGTCCAGCCGGGGAGGTAGGAGGGGGTCTTGGGAGCTTGGTGGGCTGAAGCAGGAGGTGCTCCAGAGCACTTGGCAGGGTGGAACTGGCACAGCCGAGCGGGGTGCAGGTGTGGGGAGCTTCGTGCCAGGCTGAACACACCATGGGCACACCAGCAGCTCTGGCCACCAGCTCCTCTGTGACAACTTCAAAGTGGTCTCAAAACACCTGGACTATTAAAAAAAAAAGAAGAAGATGGCCTGGGTGCAATTGTTCAATTGACTGTACAGCCAGTCACCAGCTGTGTGACCTTGGGTGAGTCATTCAGCTGCTTGCAGTTCTGGCTCCTCAATGGGGTTAAAGGATTACTTCTTGAGCTTGCTGTGAGGATTAACGGAACTGTTTGAAGTGCTCAGCGCCTACTCATACTACTACTTTATATAAATAATAACTGCATTACCATTTAGTGAGCACTTACTATGTGCCCGGCTCTGTGGCTATTTCCCTACCTACTTCATGTCTATTACCTTCACAGGAAAGCCCCAAACTACCCATTTTACAGATGAGGAAATGGGGGCCCTGACTGAAGTCACATAGCTGCGAGGTGGTGAGCCACTGTCCTCGGCTCTAAGGACCCAGTATCTGACCGTGGGGTGAGGGGTGGGGGAGGTGAGCCCGGCAAGGTGTGTAGCTCCTGAGTGGCTCAGGGGATTTCTGGACCCAGCTTTCGCGGGTGTGCGCCGGACATGCAGGGCCAGCCCCGCAGCCCCTCCCGACCAGCAGCCACCCCGGGGTTGGGTTCTGGGCGATGCCTGGTGAAAAGCAGAGCCGGGGAGGCGCCTTCCACAGAGCGCAAATGTGTCCCTTGCCGCGCCCGCTTCTGCTGGAGCCCCCGGCGCGCACAGACAGAAGTTGTGTACACAGGATTTTAGTATTTCCTCTCAGGCTCCAGCCCCAATTTGAGCGCCTGTAAAAGCTTGAACGACGTCCAGTGCGGCGTGGTTTGCTTGAGACCGGCTCCCGGCGCTGAGTCAAAGCAGCCCACACAGGGACCCGGGCGCCTGCGGGGGGCGGGGGCGCGCGGCGCCAGCGCGGGGGCGGGGCGGGGCGGGGAGTCGGGGGGGTCCACACCCAGAGCCGGCCCGCCGCCTTCCAGCCTTCCAGCCGCTCCAGCTGGCCCTGCTGCCGGTGAGCCAACCGCGGGGAATGGGTGCACACATGGGGAGAGGCGAGGCGTGACTGCCTGACCCCTTTCTTCCCGCCGAGCCTAGGAACCTCTCCTGCTCCATTGCGGTAGAGGTCGGCACTCCCTGTGGACGGGAGGCCAGGCTAGATGGCTTCTCTGGGACTGGAGGCTTCTTGTCCCTGAGTTTTAAGTATGCCCCAGCGCCATCCTCCCTGCCTGAAATCAGTCAGGGTTTCCTGACCAGCTGTGCAAGTCTGCAACTCACTACCCTTTCTGGGCATGGAGTCACTGTGACCTGCGAATCTGGGGCTCCCTGCGGCTCTGGCTCCAGCATCTTGGAGTCTGAGGTTAGCGCCAACTGAGGCTGCAGCAAGGTGCGCAAGCTCTGTGCAGGTCAGGTGGGCCTGGTCACGGGATGTGCACAATGACCAGCTGGTGCGGGGAGGCCTCGGTTTCAAGGCCTCGCAGATGGTGGGCCAGGCCAGACAAGGGGCTGGGTCGTGTGGCAGCCCGGAGCACATTTCTCTCTGGGACTGGTCCTGGGGCCCTTGTGGACCCAACAGGACAGACAGGGCATGGAGCTCATGGTGGAGTCGCTAGACATGTTCAGCTACACACTTCACGCACAGCGCTTCGCGACTTTGATTCCAGACGCTCTCCAATCAGCCTTGTGTGCATGTGAGCTCGTGTGTGGCATTTGGCGCTAAATCTGACCTGAACCATACTCATCTGATGACTTGAAGCTTCACAAGACATTTTAGTTTATCTTTATTTTCCTCAGTAGGAATAATCGCACATTGCATTAATGAATATTAATATTGATGTGTTTAATGACAGAGGCTACCCAAGAGCCTGTTGGAGGGAGTAAGGGAGGTTATATAACAAACGTCCTAACATTATATGACTTTTCTAACCCTCTTTTAAGTAAAATTTCCTAGCCCCAAGGGTTTTTGATGAAAAGCTGTGGTTCTGTGAAAACCAGAAAAGAGGCAGTGATTCCAGTGTTTCTGCACAGCGTTCCAGTTGGTGACACTCTGGATAGTGGGCTGTCCACTCAGTGGGCTCCTCAGCCCACTTGGGAGTCCGGATGCAGCTGTATGAGAGCATCCTGGAGAACTAAGAATGATTTTAGTGGTTAAATATGTGGACAATCAAGTGCAATATGATCCTCAAAGCACTTTTCTTTATGTGTGGCTGAAGGAATTTTTTGTGTTGTCTTATTTTGAAATAATTATAGAGTCACAGGAAGGTGCAAAGACATGCACAGGGAGGTCCCACTACTCTGGCCCAGGCCCTCTTTAACAGGGTCTTCTGCAGAGTGGAAGTTTTCCATTTTAGTGAGGTCCAGGTTATCAAGAATTCCTTTTGTGGCTTTTTTTTTTTTTTTTGGTACCAGGGATCAAACTCGGGTCCTTGCGCTTGTGGGGCAGGCGGCGAAACCACTGAGCTAAATCCCTGGCCCATTGTGGCTTATTCTTTTTGGCACCAAGAGCTCTTTGCCCAGCTATGGACCCCCAAAGATTTTCTTTTATGTTTAGCTATATAGTTTTGCATTTAAGCCCATTTAAGTCCATGATCCAATTAGAGTTCATTTGTGTATAATGTTAATTCAGGTTCATTTTTTTGCCTATAGGTGTCCAGTGGCTGAAGGGATTCTCTGAAACGTTTTGACTACACCCAGGTTTTACCTTCAATGAAGTAAGGGAGGCCCAGGGAAATTAGGGTTTCCCCAGAGTTACCATGTTCCTCATGAGTGCTGCTTGCTAAGCATCCTGCTCTCTGTCTTCCAGGCCCCTGGCAGGATCACACTCCTGCCACTCTGTGGTTGGGCAGAGCCACACGACTGGCTCTGGCCAATGAGTTCTGAGCAGAAATTGTGTGTGTCTTTTCCAAACTGGAGCATTTAAATGACACCATGAGACCCTCCAGAAGTCTCCCTTCCCCGTGTCAGGGCAACCAACAAGTTAGTGATAGCGGCTGCTCCATCAGCTTGAGTCCCAGGGCTGGGGTTGGAGCAAAGGCCCCTGTGGACTCAGAATGTACATTTGAAATGAACAAGGAGTAGACACTTGGGTTGAAGACATCACACTTTTTAGGCTAGGCAAAAACCAAAGTGTTTTTCTTATTCTCACAAACCACTCGCCACAATACTTCTGACATCTGGAGGAGAGTTTTCCCCAAACCTTCGATTCAGTTATTTTCCATACTGACACTGTGCACACGGAGGCAGCGTCAGCTCTCACACGGGGAGGGATCAGTCCCAGACTGCCCCCTACTTCAGTGCCAAGCACAAGGCCCAGGTTGTTTCACCTGTCTTCTGACTGAGGGTCTAAATGGAGGTTCCCACGGCACCCTCTCAAATTTGAAGAACTTGTTAGAATGGCTCTCAGAACTCAGGGAAACATTTTATCCACACTAACCCACTTATTATAGAGGATATTACAAAGGGTATGATGAACAGCCAGATCCAAGAGGTGTACAGGTCAGGGCACATGGGAGGGGACAGAGGGGTCCCGTGTCCAATCCAGGCATGCCGTCCTCCAGAACTGCTGTGTCTTGCTATCCGGAAGCTCTCTGAACCCTATCCTTGTGGGTTTCACGGGGGCTTCATTACAGCCATGATTGATCGTTTCATTGGCACTGGTGATCAACTCCATCTTCAAACTCCTCCTCTCCCAGAGGTTGAGAGGTAAAGCTGAAAGTCCCAACTGTCTGCGCCTGCATGAGTCTTTCTGGTGACCAGTACCAGATCCAGACGCCATTAGTCATCTCACTAGCATATAAAAGACATTTACCACTCCAAAGATTCCAGGGGCTTTAGACGCTGTGTGCCAGAAAATAGGAGGAAGAACAAATATGTATTTCACAATATCACAAAGCCATTATCACAGCACTATCACAGTATTTCACATTATCACAGCAGGGCTCAGCCTATCCTGATACAGCCACCAAGTTGGATTTTTTGCAGGGTGAGTGTACTATGCTAGGCATTTTCACTTGATCTTCCTGAGTTCTCAAGGATCTCCTTGGCTGGTGATACCTCACCATAAAAGGAGACCAGCCATAGACGTTAGATGGCCCTATCTGAGCCCACTCTGCCACCAGAACCCCTGACCCCAAACAGTAGCTCTCCCAGGACCCTGCAGCCATTCAGCTTAGACAGGGGCAGCAGGGAGCTCCCAAGGTGTGAGTCCTGTGTTCTCAAATGGCTGTAGTTGCTGGCATCTTCCTGCAGGTAAGAAGGCTTCTAGCCCTGTAACTTTACTCTGGAGTCCCCAGGAGGTGGCCATAACCTGTTTTGTCTCCTTCCCACCCAGGCTTCTTAAGGAAACCAGACTCGTCACTCAGCTCAGCTCACAAGCAGGCCAGGTGAGCCACAGCTGAGGACAGGGCCACGGTCATCCTCTCATCTGTCTGTGTGTTCTACACCTGGTCACTCCATCTGTTCTGCTCAAGGCAGGAAGAGGAAGGACAATGAAAAAAAGGAAGAACCTGAAGTCTTTGCTACCTTCCAGATGCCCTCAGGGTAAGACAAGGAAGTCTTGGACCTGAGTGTCCTGGTCCTCAGTCCCTGGTTGCTACTGATCCCTGGGGAGGTGAGACCTGTCACCTCCTTGGCTCTCAGTTTCCTTGGAGTTAAAAGAGTGATTGACATTGGGCCTACATCACAGAGTTTGAATTAAATCAAATAAGAAATGTGAAATGATGTTGGAAAAAAACCAAACCAATGTTCGATGTGAATGAAGCTTACAGAACACAGGAATGGCATGTCATGGGGATGCCCCTGAGTCACCAAAGAGAAGAGTACGATATGGTGTTCCCATGGGTGCCATTCCATGAGCATCTTCTTCCAGCAGAGACCCCCAACTGGGAGCCCTTCTTCTCCTCCCAGAGAGTGGAAAGGAACAGCCTGCCCAACACTACCAGATGTCAGACAGACACTGTGAAGATGATCCTGAGAACAAAGATGCAAGAGAAAAGTTGGTTCCAGGCTTAATAACCATCTGTGGGAATCCTGAAGAATGTACTGGAGACATCAAACCTTGATGAAAATCCACTGACTCAAAAGCTTAATGCTCAGCTGAGAGGAAGGAGACTCTGACGTTTGCCACAGATGGGAGGACCTGGAGGGCTCTAGGTGATCGAAACAACCCAGTAACAAAAGAACAAGGACTGTGTGATTCTACCAGGATAAGGGACCTGGAGGAGGCAAAGTCATAGAGGAGAAAGTAGAAAGCTACCAAGGATGGTGGCAAGGGATGGGGAGCAATTGTTTAACGGGTTCTGAATTTCAGTTTGAGTTCAGTATTTCAGTCACAAAAATACTGGAAATAAATGGTGATGCTTGTCCTATGCTGTGAATGTATTTAATCCCATTGAAATACTAACTCAAAAGAGGGTAAAATGGTAAAATCTTATGTCTACTTTACTGAGATACTAAAACTAGTTTGAAACCAAGAACCTTGAACTAAGAATACAGCAGATTTTAAGCCCAGGAGCGGAGGGAGAGCCAGGAGCACAGGGCTGGAGGTGGGGCAGGGGTTGCAGAAAAGGAGCACCTGAGTCCAAGCCAGTGCCACCTCCTGGTTATGCTGCTTGGGGTTCCACCAGGAGGTGCTGTCAGATGTCACAGTAGCATCGTCATAGTCACACAGATTGAAGTCTATGCCTGCAGAAGCACCATCTTGAAACATATATGGTTCTCATGTCACAGTGTGATGTCATTCACCCCAACACAAATCCTTCTGACTTCCTAGGGTCCTGGGTTTAAACAAAGGGGAGGTGGCCTTCAGCTAAAGATCTGGGTGTGGGAACCTCATTGTCTTAGTCCTTTTGAGCTGCTATAACAAAGTACCATAACCCAAATAGTTTACAAACAACAGCAGTATATTTCTCACAGCTCTGGAGGCTGGAAGTCTGAGATCAACATGGCCAAGGTCTGGTGAGGGACCCCTTGGGGGTTGGAGGCCTCCCTCCCCTCATATGGTGGAAAAGGGCAACAGAGCTGTCTGGGGTTCCTTTAATGGGGCACTGATTCCATTCAGAAGGCCTCCACCCTTAGGGCCTAATCTCGTCTTCAAACCCCAACCATTGAGTAGCATCACACTGGAAGTCAGGATGTCAGTATATGAATTTTAGGGGGACACAAATATTTTGTTTATAGCTATTAAAATTGAGATTCTGCTGTCCCAAGTGAATAAAATCAAGAAAGCCCTAATCCCATCCCTGCTAATATTGTTCTGTCCAAATGAGGCTTGGTGTATCTGGTGTGTGACCCATGACTGTTATCATTCCCTGATGACATTATTAAGCAGCATATAGGAAGGTGGAGTGCATCCACCACAGCTCTGTTCTGGAACAGAAGTGGTTGGAGGCTGAGAAGAGAGGGAAGTTCAGGGTATGGACACAGCTCATGGGGAGGAGACGGAGTCACAGGACCAGAGCTGGTCCCCTGAGAAAACAGGGTGCTCAACCACTAGCACCTGGGACCTCTTGGACCAGGGAAAGCCTGACCACCTGTTACACCTGCCAGCCTCACCTACCCTCTGACACACCCCACAGAGCATAACTACACCTTGGCCTGGTTAGGGAAAGTAAATATACTAAACCACACCTCGCTCTGGAGAGTGTATTTGTTAGGAGAAAATCTGGCTGCTGTGACAGAGACCCAAAGCTTCCTCAATTCTATTCCCATCTCAGCACACAGAGAAAATTATAACAACTGTAACTCACTGGGATAAAAGAATACAGCTGTGTCTTCATCTGATCATGCTGCTAAAACAATTCCATAACTGAAATGTATTACTCACAGTCCTAGAGGCTGGGAAATCCAAGCTCAAGGCACCAGCAGATTTGGTGTCTGGTAAAGTCAGCTTCCTAGTTTATGGCACCTCCTTGCTCTGTCCTCAGATGGTAGCAGAGTGGATCCCTGTTCCCTTCGTCTTTCATGAGGGTACTAATCCCATTCAAGGGCACTTCACTCTTCTAATACCGTCACACAGCAGGCTGCTTGTGTGCAGAGGTAACTGGTCCCAGGACAAAGGCTATCGGTGGCTTCACACACCTATAAACCATTTACAACACACAACATTGGCTGGGCTGTGCTGGCTTAATTAATGTAGATGTCTAATCCTCTCCCATATCAGAGTCAGGGTTATTGTGCTGACTCTGCTGGAAGAAGCCATCAAAGGCCCAGGCTCTGTCTCTGCTGTTGCTTCTCCATCCCTAGCATGTTGCCCCTATCAGCAAGACCCAAGATGGTACAGTACATGCACCTTCCCTCCAGAGACAGGGTAAAGGGGAAGGGAAGGCCGGCTCCTCCTTTCTGAGCATGTATCAGCCATCTTGTGACACAACATATCACCCCAAAACTTAGTACCTTTAAACAATAAGCACAGCTAGGCCTTCTAGCACACACCTGTATCCCAGCCCTCAGGAAGGCTGAGGCAGGAGAATTTCAAGTTCAAGGATAGCCTGGGCTACTTGGCAAGACCCTGCCTCAAGAGAGAAGGAAGGGAGGGAGGGAGGGAGGAAGGAAGGAAAGAGAAAAGAACAATAAGTACATATTCTCTTCATTTCTGTAAGATAGGAACTTGGAGGGTGAGATCAAGGTGTTATTCAGGACCACAGTCATCTGGAGATTCCATCAGGGCTTCAGGATTTGATTCCAAAATGGCTGAATCAGGTGGCTGTTGACAGGAAGCTGAGCTTGGTCCCATGCCACATGGACCTCTCCATAGTGCATCCCTGCTGGGGGTTCACCCCACTGCATGGGGCCATCAGAGAAGCCTTAGAGGCCTTGGTTGGGGCTCATGCTGCCTTTATAGCCTTCTGCTCAGGCCAGGATGGTGGCTGGCTTTATCTCGCCTGCCAACTTGGATCTGTGAGTAGCAGCAGCTCCCTGGACTGCCAGGCTGAGAAGACTAAGGCTGAGCTGGGGCTTGAGAGGAGCTACTGATCAATTAGTGATTGCCCTTCTGTCAGGGTACAGAAGGATAATGTAGTGGCTCAAGTGCCATCATTCCAGCTGCTCATTCTTCTTCACTAGGGGTTCACTCTCACCTCCTCTTCCCCCACCTGGCTGCCTCCCAGGGTAAGAAAAAATTACCCACAATCCCACCCTTCTTCCTTTTGCCAATTTACTGCTAGACCTTCAAGAGTTGTAATCAGAAGGTACATGCTAATTATAAATGCTTTTTCCACTTGGTATTACGGCACAAGGATTTTCCTATGATTGTTTTTTTATATCCTTTTTAAAATAGAGTTAACATAATTTTATTGTAGGAAATACAGAGAACCAACAAGAAAAAAAAATCTTTAAAGCACCTTTAATTCCAAAACCAGTCAGGGACCCCCAGGCAGTAGCAAAGCAGGGGTGGGGGGTCCCCATACTAGTGCCATAGCATTGGAACTTTCCTTGAGTGCCAGAATAAACCAAGATGCTGTTTTTTAAAATGCTAATTCCTTCCTGTAAACTCATTAGAAAAGGTCAGCCCTCCCCAACTCTTGAAAAACCCAAAATGGGCAAAGACTATGAAAAAGGCCATTCATAGAAATAGAAATTGAAGTGCTCAACAAACATGAAAAATGTTCTCTGTTAGCCAGGAAAATGAAAATTAGAACAATGAGATACCCACCTCTCCCAGAAGACTGACAAAAATTCAAGTGTGATAACATTCAGCACAGGCAAGGAAATGGGTGTGAATTGCTATAATCTCTTGGAAAAGTAATCTGGAATTGTTTGTTAAAATTTAAAAAACTCTACAGGTACATATGACAGTACAAGGGCTGGGGATTTAGCTCAGTGGTTCTGCCGCCTGCCTTGTAAGCGCAAGGATCCGAGTTTGAACCCCGGTACCAAAAAAAAAACCATACAAAATACGTTTGACAGTACAGCCTCCCTTCCAGGCTCTACAGAAGTAAAAAAACACCAGAGCATACAGAGGCACCTACAAGGATATTTACTAAAGTACTCACTCATTGAGTATTTGTTGATCAGTTACTCTGGGTCAGGAACTGTGTGGACACTAAGGATAGAGGTGAACAAAACCAACATAAATCCCTGCTCCCATCAAGTTCACCTTGTAGAAAGAAGCACCAGTCAAGCTATTTACAATACAGCATGTTCCTTGGTGATAAATACTATGGAGAAGATAGAAAGAAGATGAGGGAAGTGTATGGGGGTGTGGCTTAAAAGAGACTGATCAGCGAAGGTGTTAAGGAAAAGGTAGCATCTAGTCAAAGAACTGAAGACAAAGGTACAAGCCATGAGGAAATTCAGAGAACAGCCAACGCCAGGACTTAGAGGCAGAGGAACACACAGAGGACAGTAGCAGGTGATAAGGTCAAGGAGGTACAAGGAGCAGGTGGCTCAGGGCCTTGGAGGTCACTCTAAGGGCTTGGCTTCACTCTGAGTAGTTTCTAGCCATGTCTGGGCTACAGATAGGAATTTGGAAGTCATCAGCATCCAAAGGGCATGACACCCTGAGCGAGTGAGGACAGAGGACCACAGAGAACCCAGCACACGCCCACAAACAAAGGGGCTGAGGGGAAGCATCCAGAAGAATCCAGAAGCATCGGAGGCAAAGCAGAGATAGGTTCCCAGAGCCAAATGAAGAGAGGACCTCGGGGAGGGGGCATAGGCTGTGTCAAATGTCTGAGGAGAGCTAGGGACCAAGCTTGGGCTTGGCAGATGGCCATCCTGAAGGACAAAGCCGGAAGATGCCGGCTCTGGAAAGACCCCAATTGCTGAGGGTGACGCTTGGACAAACCCTTCACTGGGGACGTGGGAAGGACCTCGAGCACGGAGGAGCAAGAGGGCAGCAGCTGACAGGGCTGTGAGCAGCTGCAGCAGGCAGCTGTGCGGCTCCAGGGAACAATGGGGCGCCCTGTGTCCTTGAGCCCCCGGGCGGGCGCCTCTTACCAGGGCCAAGAAAGCGGATCCCTGCACTAATTAAGTCTCATCAACAGCAGCGGTGCTCGCCAAGGCCCTGGTTCCAAGGAAGCTGCAGACAGCAGGGACAGGCGTGGGCTCCCTGGACCCTCGCTCAGGCAGGAGGAGGAAACGAGACCCTGAAGAAGGGGTGGCCAAGAGGAAGGCTGCAGCCCTGGGAGGAGGCTGGGGGCCTGGGAGGGGTCAGGCCAGCCGAGGCCAGAGCTGAGAGAAAAGCAGATGGAATGACTTTTCCTTCCTGTGTGGGGGATGCTTGGCCAAGCAGGCTTAAAATGGTGAATTTATAGTAGAAAGGATTTGGGTTCTTAACTCAGCCTGAGTGGGTAGATACTATCCAGTGAGCTAGAAGTAAAGAGGCTTTGGTATCCTTTCTTCCAACTGCTGATTTTGCAAAGGCAGAAACTGAGGCTCAGAGAGGGAACAATTTGAGCTGTGTCACCCAGCAGTGAGTGACAGGGCTGAGCACCCTGGCACCTGTGACGATCTCCACGCTCTGTGGATGTTGCTGCCACCCGCCCTGTGCTCCCTTACCTGAAATCTGCCATGCTGTGCAGGACACCCCAGCGATGGTGTGGGTGGGCAGGACACTGGGCTCATCATACAGCCCCTCACCAGGGCACAGACAGATCAGGAGACACTTGTGCCTGGGGACACAAGCCAGGCACACTGCTGCCTGCTAGGAGTGTACAAACTGAGCTGGAAAGACAGACAGGGACACAAGTAACCGTGAGCTTGAGGGGACAGGCCTGGGAGGTCCACAGGCTATGGAGGTTTGGGTCCATAGGCTCTGGTAAAGTGAACTTTGTCCACATTTGAAGGGTGAACATCCATCTATTTATAATTCCTTTATTATTTTTTGATTTATTTAAAAACTCTGGAAGGTCTTTGGTCCTTCCAGTAGTTCCCTGGCTCAAAAGCTAACCTCACAGGAGATTACAGCCCTTGTGTCCAGAACAATGTGACCTTTAGGCTGTGTGTGGCTGTAGCATCTGGGTGGGGCCTTCTAATCAGAGCCCAGAATTCAAGTATCCAAGCAAGACAGGCAGTTTGGGGGCCCAGAGGGACACTGCCTATCCAGGAGGGACTCTGGAGGTCACAGGACCACAGGACCACTGTCTGCTTGTAGAGGTCACCCATGGGGTTGAAGATCTGGCCAGGTTGAAGCCCAGGTCTTCCAGTTCATAGAAGGGGCTATGTTCTCTGTATGCCACTGGGGGCTCTGCTCTGGGCATTTCCTCACGTGCCAGAGCACTGTCCTGCCCCCCCAAGGGATCACTCCCTGGACCCCTTAGTCCTCTTGTCTGCCTGCCAGAACCAGTATCTATGGGAGAGACTAACAGGGAAGGGAGTGAGGGCAGGGCTCAGAACAGCCCATCAACCTCCTTGTCAGACTGTGAGCTGTGAAGATGCCAAAAGGGGCCAGAGCCTCCTGGCCAGCTGCTCCCCTCAAGCTTGGCTCTGTCCAGTCCTGTCCCCAAAGCCAGGGAGACAGCTCTGACAGATGGCACCCGCCCTGAGCTGTCAGTCTTCCCTGCAGGTCCCCACAGGCCGTTGGGACCAAGTGTCCTATAGGATTCAAAGGACAAAGCTCTCCCTTGCTCTCCCCACAGGGCTGGCCAATAATTTCCCTTTCGGATATCTTCTGATGGCTTTCCCTGTCAGGGCTTCAGCCTCTGCTTTGAGTTTGGAGACGTGACCAAAGCAACTGTGTGGGTGAGAAAAGCCTGGTCCATCCTAAATCCAAATATTCTAGTGGCTTCATAAACTGTCAATCTCCAAACTGTGTTCTAGGAACCCGTTGGGATTCCACAAGGAGTCAGAGCCTGAAATAAAGAGCAAGCACTGCATTTACAGGGCAGATGATCAATGAGTAGTCTGTCGATACAATGGAACATTGCTCTGCTGTATGAAAGGAAGGAAATTCTAACACGTGCTACCATATCCATGGACTTTGAAAATGTTATGCCCAGTGAAATAAGTTTAATAGAAGACAAAAATATTATCCATTCCATTTCTATTAAGTGCCTAGAAGAGGCAAATTCATGGAAAAAGAACGTCTCCATGGGCATAGGGGGTTTTATAATAAAAAGTTAGGAGTATATATAGTACTGATGGTTCTATGACATTAGGAATGTATTTACTGCTACCCGATTGTATACTTACAAGTAGTTAAAATGATTCACAATATTTTATGCATATTTTATCACAATAGAAATTTTAAATATATATGCATAGATTTGAATAAGTTTGAGAGGAACTGAGTTCACAAGATTAAATGTCAGAGCCTTTACAAAGGGGATATATTAAGCCATGGTCCCCACTGGAGTGGACCACTGAACTCTGTGTTCTTAAAAGGCCTCACCTTATTAATCTTAGAGCTGTTCCTCAAATTACAGTATTTGGCTTCTTAGACAGCTTTTCACCCCTGCAAGACACATTAAAATCTCTGCCAGACCCCCTTGCCCTGATTTTTGTTTTTTAAAACAAAGGTCACTATAACATTACTGAAGTATTCTATTTTCATCTACAAAAATGGAAATTTCTCCATTTTGAGTCCTCAAAGCATTTTTAGTTCTTTACTTTAAAAAAAAAGTGTGTGTGTGCATGTGTGTGTTGCACGCATGTGTATGTGCATGCAAGGGGGGAATTCTCTAGAAACTTCTGGTTGTAGGCCTGGAAATGCAATCCCAAGGATAAAAGCATGTCGTCTGTGGGCCAGATGGCTTTGAAGGTGGTTTAAGGCATGTTTTTGGCTCTGCCTGCCTGACAGAGAGGGGCAGGCTCTGTCCTGTCCCCTCCTCCCTGTTGTTGCCCATCTGCTGCCCCTGGACAAGCCCTGGGGACTGGAGGCCTGGGGACAATAGTGTGGCTGGTCCAGGGCCATGTGTCGATCCTCTAAGAGACAGGACCCTGGTCCCATGCAGCTGAGCAGGTGGGCAGCCTGGTCAGCTGCCCTGGTGGCTTATAACCCATCCACTGGCCACCATACTTCATAATGGAATACTCTCAGGCCCCGGATTGGTGACGACCAGGGAGCCAGTGGCCAGGGGGTGGGGGTAGGGCTGTCAGAATAAAGAAAAAGAAGACTGGATTTAAACGCCAGCTGTGGGACAACTTGGGGGTGAGTCACTGCCCAGAAATGTAGTGTCAGGGAGTAAAGCCAGAGCGAGGAGAAATTTATAACTGCCGGAAACATGGTGAACCTGTCAAAAATAAATGACATTAGCCTCAAAAATTAGGAAGTCAAAAGCAAAGTCTTCTTTGTTGTTTATTTTGAGAATATAAACATTTTTAAAATGTATTAAAATAGGAAAAACAACTCCATACAGCAATACCTTGTATAAGTGGTGCTCTAGGGACATGGAGGAAGTGGCCGTGTTCCCTTGAGTGGATACAGGCAGAGGGAAGGATCAGCCACAGGAGGTGGTTGAGGGTGAGATTTGGAATTCAGCAGACCCAGGAGATCTGGGATGTGAGTTCCTGAGATTCTACAGGAATCTGGGTAGCTGCTGGGCTTCCCACTGGACAAGGGGAGGGATGTTTTTATTTATAGGTGAAAAGGAAAGGTGAGCCCTAGGACGGGGAAGGGTAAGCACCAGGTCACTGCTGTAGGATTAAGCAGGGCCTCTCTGTCTGTCCCCAGGTTCTGGGAGTAAAAGAACCCGAGGAAGCCAAGGGCCTGGTGGGAAGTGACACAGAGGAAAGTCTGGGTACAAGGTAAACAAGGTCCAGAAAGAACCTTGTTTCCAGGCAGCCAGAGGAAAGGAAACAGACATGATCTAGAAAGAGGGGCTGTGAACATCTCAGGATGGAATTTGGACAGCACCCCCAGAAGCCCAAGCTGGGGGCACAGCCCGGCTCAGGGGAAACTGGGAGACCTTGGAGACATTGGAGGAGTGGACGGACCGCCCACCATGGGTAGCAAAGGAGCCTGTACTTCAACCTGCAGGCCACGGGCCCACATCCCTGTGGAAATGAGCCTGTGTCAGCCATGAAGAGGAAAGAGCAGAAGAGACCTGTGAGCACTAACCAGCATACCCTCAGCCATGTCATCCCGTGGTCCCCCAGCACGAGGGCCTGCTCCAGGGAGGCCATGAGACCAGGTGGCAAAGAGAGCTCCTTGGCTGATTCACAGTAGCTGTGGGAAGCAAGGGCCTTTGAGAAAAAGGTTAGTGACATGTAGACAGAACTGGAGGGCTGTGGCCGTGTGCACGCACTCACCCACATATTTGATCCATGTTTATTCAGAGTCCACTGGGCTCAGGCACTTGTGCTAAGAAACTGTTCCCTGCAAAGGCTCAGCCCCAGAAAAAGCAAACATTCCCAAGTCTGGGCTTTGCCCTGGCCCTGGCCCCTTCTCCCTTTGACCTTGTAAAAGGTCATCTAGCCTGGGTCCCATTCTACCTGAGTCTTAACCAAATAGATGCTTGGTAGTTATTTGTGGAGGGAAAAAAAACAAACATGAGTGAATTATTATTATTTTTTTTTAATACTGAGATTTGAACCCAGGGCTTCCACATTGAGCTACCTCCATAGCCCTATTTTATTTTTTTTAATTTTGAGATGAGGTCTCACTAAGTTGCCCAGGTTGGGCTTGAATTTGTGATCCTCCTACCTCAGCCTCCCTGAGTGGAGGGATTATACATGTGTGCCACCACACCCAGCTCAATTTTCCAATTTTTAATTCATTAATTCCACTAAAAGATCAGTATATCCAATTTGCAGTGCCCTTTTGAGGATCTGAAGATGAATTACACCCAATCTTTGCCCTACTAGAAATTCACAGTGGCACCTGGAGATTAGTCTGCCCATGGATCTATAAAACAGCCAATATTTAGCAGTCTGGATTCCTTGGCATGCCTGGCTTCAGGGAGGGGTCCTGGGGACAGAAGGCAGATGTGTGGGAAAACCCAGGAAGCTGAGGGAAGCCAGCCTCTCTGCAAAGCAGGGCCCTCGAGCTTCAGTGTCCTCCTCGAGCCTGGAAGCAAAAGCTTCCAAGGCCAGCAGCAGGAGGGCAGAGGAGAATGGCAGCTCATGGCACGGAGTCTGGCTTTGAAAAGACAGGGTGCTTGTCCTCTGGCTGCTGGCAGTGGCCACTGTGGGGTCTCAAGCACCCAAGGAGGAAGGCAAGGGCAGCCTCTCTCCACCCTGGGCAAGCTGGGCAAGGCTGCCCACGGCAGGCACTGGTCCCAACCTAAGTAGCTGCCCCGGTGCCTCTGCCCAGGACCATGAGCAAGGCCTTGGGCAGGGAGGGGCACACCTACCCCTGCGGCTCCCAACATGCCCCACAATGGCTCAGCTACCCGGTTAGGCTGGGACCTCCCACTCGAACCCCACGGCCTGTGAGCCAGGGATCTTTGACTCCCTGACTTTGTCCTTCATGGCTTTGTCCAATGTATGCACAGGAGGGCTCCATGTGACACATCCACGTGGGTCACCTGGGATCCTGCAGTGTCCCTTCCTCCCTCTGGGGCCTGTGCCCAATGACCGACAGCAAATGTGGGTGTGCCACAAATAGTTTGATGCTGCTTGGGCCACATTTCCTGCTTTTCTAGAAAGTGTCACCAGGGTTACTCAGAGGGACAACTGAGTGGCACTGTGACCTGTGCCTGGGGTCCTGGGTGACGGGCCTTCCTCACTGTCCCTCTTGGTCCCCTCCATGCCACGCTGTCCACCCTCTTTCTGGGCAGCTTTGCAGTCTGATCCCTGCTTCTGTGCCCCCGGGGGTCCCTGGCCAAAGGCCACACCGGGGAGCCTGGCACATGAGGAGGAGGCTCCCTGCAGCCAGCTCCACGGCAGACACCCAAGCTGGACCCTGAGAAGAGGGGAGCAGAGAAGAGGAAATGGTGCTGGGTGACACGCACAGACAAACTGTGCATCCAGTGCAACCGACGGCCCCCATCACTGCCCTCTTTCCCTGGGTGACCCTGTCCCTAACACCCTGACCTTCTTTCCCTGTTTCTTACCTCACTCCCCCTTCCCTGGCTCCCATGCCTTTTACTGGCACTGTCTTAGGGTCAAGTAAGTGATGTGACAGGGCCACAAAGACTTTGCACTGGGACCGGCAATGGGGCTGGAGAAAGTTCAGGAGCAGAACGTTTGGAGTGGGCCCATCTTGATTCAAGAACTGGCTCTGTCACTGGCTGGCCCTGTCTCCTTGAGCCTTAGTTTCCTCATCTGTGTTATGAGATTAATAGTCTTCCTAAGCTTGTGAGGTACAAAGCAGACCAGGCTCCTTACTCGTTCATTTAGGACAAGGCCTCCTGGTCACTGGCCCAGGCTGAGGCCATGGTGGAGAACTCAAGGCCCCCTCACACGTGCACTACCTGCCTAAGTGGCTCACAACCTAGAGAGGGACCAACCCTCTCCCTCACAGCACCCCTTCCAATGACAGGTGAAGGCCTAAGGCCTGGTCGCCCACAGAGTCCACTCAACACAACCAAGTATTTCTTTACATGATGGGGCTTTTACTTCAATTTGAAGCAGATGGTTGAGCACAGATGTGAACAGCTTTGGCCTTTTTAGCACAAGGAAAAAGCAGGCCTTGGCTTTAAATGCACCCCCTACCCCACATCCTGGCCCACTCCCCTGGTCCCTTCCTCCCTCTACCCTCCTGCCCACCTGTGAGAGACCACTGCCCTCCCACAGGGTGCCATCTTGCTTTCCCAGCCTGAAGGGCACCACTGGCTGGGGGAGCGAAGACCTGGGGCAAGTCCCTGGGTGGAGGGTAGGGTAATATTTTTTCTTCCCCATCCCACTACCTTCTCAGGCTACCCAGGCCCTCTGAAGGACCCTGGGCCCAGGGCACATTGAGAATCTGGGTCCAAGGCCTGGGCAGCTGGCAGAAGAGAAAGAAGGGCACAGGGATCTCTTGCCATCCTCTCAGGCACCCCCGAAGATGGAACTTGCACCCAGCCCAGTCAGGGCCCAGTGTAGACAGAGCAACAGTGCAGAGGGCCACATGCTTCCCATGGTCACCAGATGTCCATGCCTTCCGTGAGTTCCTGGTAGAAATGCTGATTTATCTTTGGCTTGAGATAAGACTCGGGCAACAAGAAGAACAGAGTCACGGAGCCAAGGTGTGGCTTTTCCCTGATGGGTTTCATCCCCCATCTTGTTCAGAGTCTCTGTGGAATCTTTGGCAATGGATTTCTGCAGCCTTGGGTCCTGACCAAGAGGAAGGCTGAGCTCTCCCTCCTGACCAGGCAGCAGACAAAGTGCAAACTGACCACGGCGGCTGGGGGAGGACAGGAGGTGACAGGGAGGCTGCCTGCTCCTGCCCCGGGTGACTTGAGCAGCTGTGGTGGGTGGAGGGCTGGCAGCATCTTGGAGAAGACAGAGGCTGAGGCTGGCCCGCTCCCCTCATCCTTGGCCTGGCTGGAGAGAGGCTGCGGCAGCATCCTCAGTCTGGCCCACGGCCACTCACTCCTGAAAGAAAAGACCAGCCATGAGAAGCAGCCCCTGCTCACCAAGGCCAGCCGCTGGCATCCACAAAGCTTCCTCCCACTTAATCCGCACAGCTGCCCTGTAAGGGACTCCACACCTGGGTGGCCTGGCAGGGGACAGCACCTTGAAGGACTGGCTGCTTCCATGGGGTCCCTTCCTCCCCACCTCTACCCTTTAGAGCCCCTGCTGCTTTGTTGGTTTGGGTAGAAGAAGCCAGAGTCCCAGATGTTCAGGGACACCATGGTTCCCAGGGCCATATCCTGGGGCTGGTGGAGCTCTCTGCTAGCCCCCACTGCAATGGCTGCCCATGGCACCCACACTGTCTCCCACACTGTTTAGAAAGAGCACTGTACCAGGAGTCACAAGGCCCACTCTTGCCAGGTATGGCAGCACGTGCTTATAATCTCAGCACTTGAGAGGCTGAGGCAGGAGGATTGCTGTGAGTTTGAGGCCAGCCTGGGCTACATAGTGAGACCCTATCTGATCAACAAAACAAATGAGCCCATTCTGGTTGATACCATCACCTGCCAGCTGGGTGACCTGACACAAGTCACTTAACTTCTTTGGGCCTCAGTCTTCTCATCTATAAAATGGTATTGCCAAAACAGATCAATACTTTTCACTTTCTTTTCAGCGGTACAAATGGAGTCCAGCCCGTGGACCCCAAAGAAGATAAGCATGACTATGTCTACTTGGAGTGTCAGGACCTAGGGGGACACAGGCAGAGGGGGATCCAGAGTCCTATTCTGTTCCCTCTGCCAAGGAGCCTGGGACACCCTGAGAATCCAGGGAGCTCATGTGTGTTCTACCCCAAACCGCTAGGTTAGACTGGCTTCACTCTGTGGAATCTTCGACCTGTTGAATCTTCCCTCTGGCAGCTGAACTCAGTGCTGCTCTCAAGAGAGCTGACCAGAGAGTGTCTCTCAATTATTTTTGTTTGTTTTGTTTTTATATGGGGTCTCACTTTGTAGTTCAGACTGGCCTTGACCTCATTATGTAGCCCAGGATGGCCTCCAACTCTCAGAAATCCTCCTGCCTAAGCCTCCCAAACCCAGAGATTAAAGGAGGCCGCTGGCATCTCTCAATTCTTTCAACAACCTGGAACAAACAGCTAAATTCTCGGTGTCAAAGCAGAACATCTGTTGGCCCCTTCACATGCCAGGGAGCTTTTTCACATCGCACTGGGATGAACAATCTCGGCTCTGAGAAGGAAGCGAGAGCAGTTGGCAGCCCCAGGATTTGAATCCAGATCGGCAGTGTTTATTCTACCACACTGAGGCAGCCCTAGCTGAGTCGTGGCCTGGAGAGCCTCAAGGGAGCCAAACCACGAGGCTGGAGGGCTGTTAACCACAGCCCTAGTGAGCTCCGGCTGCAGGAGAGGCTGGGGCCCGGCTGGAAGTGGGGACCCAGGGGGGTGAGGGAGTCATGCCAGGGGCAGGCAGAGCTCTCCAGCCAACAGTGGCTACACAGGAAAGAAAGGAAAAGTGAGAGGCGGGTGGGATCTTGATGTGGTAACTCCCAGGCTTCCATCTCCCAGCCCGCTGTGCAGGGCTGGCCCCAGCAGGAGTCTGCTTTCTGTTACCGAGTCTGAGGAGGAGGATTAAGAAGTGGAAAGGAAACCCGTGGGGATGGTACTGGGTCTGTGGTCCACTGGTGATTTACAGCCCACGTCGTCCCGTCGCTGGCTGCCTGGGCAGCCTGCTGTACTCTGGGCCCGGAGCCACCCTCCCGGCCAGGGAGCCTGAGCCCAGCTGAAAGCCCTCTGTTGGCTCTCAGACCCTCTGAAGCCACTGCTGCCACCTAAGAGTCAGCAGACAGGCTCCTCTCGCTGAGGCAGGACCTTCAATTCCTGACACCTGCCCCCCTTCCCTGGATGTCCACACTGGATCCCATTCCCACCACCTTCCCAGCCCAGGAATCCAGCACAAGCATTGTTTATTCGAGGAAGCCTTCTACCAACAGAGGCATGAAGAACCCTGCAAACAGGACCTTCTCTGCTATTAACTGGCTGTGTGGCCTTGTGTAACTCCCCTTCCCTCTCTGTGCATTAATTCCCTCACTTGTAGAGTCGGGGGGTGACTCGGTGAGTGAGCATTCCCCAAGAGTGTTCTGCAGCACCCTAGCCAGCCAAGGTCTCCTGTGAGTTTGGGCAACACCTCAGACCTCAGCCCCATCTTGGAAAGTCATTATGTAGAACAGTGTGTTAAAGGCTCTGCAAAGTCCTGCAGTAAAGAAATTCATGTGGCTCTATATATCCAGTGTTTTCCCAACATCTTTGATAAGTCCTTGCCACTGCACTGTGAGTAGAAACTCACTCCAGCCCTGCCCTCTAGGAGCCCACCAGTAACAGCCTGGCTACTTGAAGGGCTCTGCTCTTTCCTCCTACTGCTAGGCCCTGACTGAGCATCTGTAAGCAGCCTCCACCAGCCAGCGGAGGAAGCCCACTGGTCCAGCCTCCTCCTTTGACCACTCGGCTGTGGCTGACCACCCGCCAGTGCCACCCTATTGTATGGGGCTGTGCTATGTGGGATGGGGTGTGTGGCTGCAAATATGGGGGAGAGCAAGCATCCCCATGGTGACAACTGCACCACAGATCGCCTCTCATGGAACCACTGGCAATGTCCTATCATTGCCGGGGGTGGCATAGCTGAAGAGAGTTCAAGTCCCCTCCAGATCTGGCCTCAGGTGAGTACTTAGCCAAGCCTCTGGGGATGACTTACTCCTTGGCTCATGGTCCCTAGGACACCTCCAGCACAGCCTCACTTTGGAGGGTCCCTTTAGGCCTTCTTTTTTTTCCCCCTGTACCGGGAATTGAATTCAGGTCCTTGCATTTGCCAGGCAGGTGCAGTGCCACTGAGCTACATCCTGGCCCTTGGAAGGTCCCTTTAAACAGCAAGTTCTGCTGCTGAGATAAACCTGAGACAACTAAATGAGACCTCGGAGCGGCTCTGACACACTGGGTCCCCGAGAGGCAATTCGTCAGTGTGGCAAAGCAGATGGATCTGTCACCATCAGGAGCCACTCTCTCATTTGTTCATTGTCTGGAATCAGAATGCCAGGTCCTCAGGGGCAGTTGGTCCGTTAGCCGCCAGAACCCTCAGCACCCAGCACAGTTCCTGACTCATACCTGCACCCCCAAAAATATTACTTGTTGAACAAGAGAACAACTCTTTCCAATAACAGGCATTTAATTGACTGTAGCCTTGATATACCAAGGAAATCTTCCTGTTATGAATGAAACACTGAACATTTTTGTAAATATATCTGTCCCTAGGCTGGGGATTTAGCTCAGTGGTGCCATGCCTGCCATGCAAGCGCAAGGTCCTGAGTTCAATCTCAGGTACCAGAAAAAAAGAAAAAAACATATATATGTGTGTGTGTGTGTATTTATATATCTGTCCCTTGGGGGAGTTTGGGGTAACTGTTGTGACGGTGGAACAATCTTAATCACTTTGCAGTTTCTTTCTAATCATCTCTGCAAGCTGTTTGTCTCTGGGCTTAAGTGCATTGTTTTCCTCTCTTAATCACTTCTGTGTCCTTCAAGGTAATTCTATCACTATGGAGACATTTAAAAAAACATTTTGCCAGACATAGTGGCACATGCCTGTAATCCCAGCACATGGGAGGCTGAGGCAGGAGGATCACTGTGAGTTCGAGGCCAGCCTGCACTATAAAAAGTGAGACCCTGCCCCCAAAAAACAAAAACAAACAAAACAAAAAACCTATTTTACCTAAGTTATTTTACCTTTTAAATTTATTGTCAGTCTACAATGTCCCCTTCACCTATTCAACTATTTTTTTTACTATTTTCAAATTATACACTATATTTAAGCAACTTGGATACACCTTTTATATGCCGGGGGAAAAAATCCAATGGCCTTGAAATTCTGAGAGGTTTTTTTTTTTTAAAACTGATCTGTCCTAAAAAGAGCAGTCAGATTTCATGTTGTTTTAAAACTAAAATATGACAGAAAAGTGAGGAAGAAATGGGAGAAGTACCTACAAGAACCACATTATTAGGCATTATTTTCTTTCCACTTCCAAGTATACCAACAGGTAGGATAGAAAAGGGGGTTCATGTTTGGCTCTGAATCTTGGCTTCAAGTCAGCTTAGGCCCCTGACCACACTGGTTAACCTTTCCAACCAAGCCTCAATTTCCTCATCTTTAAAATGGGCACAGCAACAATATGCACTTTCTAGGTCAGTTGCAAAAAATCAAACAAGACAACCCAGCCACACCCCTGGCAAGGCCTGGCTCATGTTCCCGCAGAGATGAGCTAAAAATATAAAGTGACATCAGAGGCTAAAAAGTCTCAAAACAAGTAACCACCAATAGTCACTTTGAACCAACTGTCATCTTGACCGATTTGCTTTCAATTCTTTTTTTAAAAATAAACACAATTTTTAAAATTACATAGTGTCCATCAGCTGAGGAATGGATAAATGAAATGTGGTGTAGTCACACAATGGAGTTTTACTTGGTCGTGAAAAGGAATGGAGTATGGATACACACTACAGCATGAGTGACCCTTATAAGCAGTGTGCCACGAGAAAGCAGCCAGTGACAACAAACCACACAGTCCACGTGACATATCCAGGACTGGGAACTCTACAGGGACAGCCAGATCAGTGGGGCCTAAGGCTGGAGGATAGGAATGATAGCTAAGGCACACCCAGATCCTAAGGCAGTGTAGGCTCTAACTGAGGGAAAATGGTCTAAAACTGGCTATGGTGGTAGCTGCACCTGTCTGTGAATACACTAAAAACCATGTCTTAACAAAGCTGTCAAGATGGTTTAATTATACGCTGGTATCTTAATTATGGAAAATACAGAAGTATGAACAGAAAAAAAAATTATCCCACTCCCGTCTCTCCACCAGGAGAAGACCCCAGTAACATGTGGGTGATGGTCGAGGCATAGTCTCTTCCTGTGCTTCACCTCTGCAAGCGGCATTTCACAACAGCAGATTGTGTCATGCAC